CTATGCCAGAGGTAAACCTGGGGTCTTTCAAAAGAGCCTGTTCCTACTGGATTCCTTTAAACTTCCTCTCTAGATTTTGTTTACAAGCTGAGAGATCTTTGAGGTCTGGAGAAATGAAGCAGTTTGCCTAATTTCATAACCATAGCTAGTCAGTAATAAAGCTAGAACTAAAATCTGAGCTGTCATACTATGCACTTTTTCAGCTATGTTCTTAGCTCCTCCATCAGCACTGATTTTGACTTTCTTTCCTTGCCCTGGTTCCTGACTCATTTCAGAGGAGTGCCTGTCTCCCTGCTCCACCATCTTTACAAGCTTCTGTTCTTATTACCTTGTCTCACGGTTACTATTGCAGTGGAAGTAGGAAGAGAAGACATAGCAGTCTTAAGTTTGAGCTCGTTGAGGTAGAAGAATGGCTCTTAGCATTGGCTGCACATTAGAATTGCTTATAGTGCTTTTATAAAATACTGATACCTAAGATTCTGATTTTTACTCCCATATTTGTTTGTTCATTATTGAGATACAGTAATACCTTGGTTTGGGAGCATAACTCGTTCCGGAAACAAACTACTCGTATTGTAAAACATTGCTCGTTTACCAAGTTAAAATGTATTAGAAATGTTTGCTCGTCTTGTGGAACACTCGCAAACCGAATTACTCACAGTCCAAGGTTTTACTGTATCTACAATAAAATACATAAAATTTTCAGAAAATATTCAATGAATTTTTATACAGTCATGTGTATGTATCTTTATGCATATCACATCAGGATATGCTTTAGATCAATAGGCTCCCTCAAACTTCTTCCTCATCAATACTGGCTGCCCTAGTAACCACTCTACCCCCTACACACTTCTATATGCATCTTCAAATACGGACATTTTCTTACATAACCACGATGCTATTATCAAATTTAATGAAATTAACAAATCCTTAATAATCTAATTCCTAGGTCATAATCACATTTTTTTGATTGTCTCAAAAAATGTCTCTGCAGTTAGTTTGTTAGGATAAGAATCCAACCAGAGTCCACACAGCATGTTGTGCTTAAATTTCTTTACATCTAGAGCAGTCCCTCTTCCCCTTTCTCATATCATTGACTCATTGTAGAAATTGGGTCCGTTGTCAGCTAGTAATGATAGTTTTGAAAACTTCCTAGGTTTTTCTAATATTTTGTCAGAGTTGAAAGCCCTCAAATAGAGTATATCTCAGGACTATTCTTAAAGAGAGGGTGAAGGGTGAGGGATAAAATAGAAATAATTTGTGGGTGATTGAAGCTATCATGACAGATTAGAGCATGGACGTCTTATACAGTAGTAGAAGGGGGATGTGACTGCAACAACAGTGGTACGCCCCAAGGAAGAGTGGGAACCAGTTACTGAGTTCGCATTTGTCTGTCAAACTCATGTTACTGTGTGAATCTTCTTGTTTAGTGGAACTCACAACAGTTGTTTTTCTAACAAAGAATCAAAGAGTGACAAGAAAAAGCAAATGTGATTTCTTCCCTGTTGAAGTTCTTTTCTTACAGAACTGTAGACCATGAAATTAAAAAAAAAAATTAGATGAACAAAATTAGAAGTTGGAAAATAGGTCATTCACAGCAATGGGGATACTCAAGGTTTAATGAAAGAAAACTTGAAGGGATTAAAAAATTCAGTCTGTACACAGCATGGGGGGAAATGTGAAAATACCTGTGCAGGTCAGAGGCTGATGTGTCCTGAGGCAGGGCACAGCAAAGTGTACCAGGTAATGGTGTCCTACACAGGATTCCTCCTGATTTGTGCACAGCGCCTCTAGCAATTAGCCATCATCTCACTCTATTCTCTTTATCTACTAGGGCCAAATTGTCCAAATAATCTGGTTTTAAGCAACTCATCAGATAAAAGTGCTCAACAGAGTTTTGTGGGAAAGTGATATTGCTGGTCACAGGCTTTGGACTGAAGTGGCATGTCCAGCTCAGGAGACCTGGGGAGGGAAGGTCAGAGTAGCTTGTAGAGTTGGGTTTGAGGTACTGTGGGATCGGAGAATTTCGGCACTGGAAGGGCCCCTGGGCTCTTGGATTTTACCCCACCCCCAACCCCCATTCTTAGGCTTTTTGTTACAGAGAATTTCAAACTTATACAAAAGGACATGAACTCCCATGTCCTCCAGTTTTAGCAGTTATGAATTCATGGCCAGTCCTGTTTCATCTGTAGCCTCATCCACTTAACCCCATCCTGTGTTTTGAAGCAAATTCCAGACATCATATCATTTCATCTATAAGCATTTTAATATGTATCTTTAAAAATTAAGAACTTTTGAAATTAAAGGAAAAAACAATTTTAATATCACATCAAAATTTAACAAGAATTCTTTACTATTATCAAATTATTCAGTCATTTAAGTTTCAGTTGTTTCATCAATGTAATGATTCTATTTTTTTTTTTTTTACAGTTTTTTTGAATCAGGACCCAGTTAAGGTCCATACATTGTGATTGATAGCTCTTTTAATGCATAGGTTTTTTTCCTCCACCCACCACCCTTTCTTAACGTATAGAGTATCTTAGTTATATGTTGCTGCATAAAATTTAGCACCATAAAACAATGTACATTATTATTTCACAGTTTCTGTGGGTTAGGAATCCGGACATGGCTTAGCTAGGACCCCTCCTTTAGGGTCTCATACAAGGCTGCAAACAAGATGTCAGCCAGGGCTACAGTCACCTCAAGATGGTTGGGGAAGGACCGGCTTCAGAGTTCACTCGGTGGCTGCTGGCAGGATTCAGTTTCTCGCAGGCATTGTACTGAGGGCCTCAGTCCCTGCAGGTTGGTGGATGGAGGCCACCTTCATTCAGTTCCTTGCCACATGGGCACCTCCAGCATAGCAGCTAGTTTCATCAAAGCAAGCAAGAGATGACAAGAGAGAGTGGCAGCAAGAAGGAACTCTTAATCTTTTACACCTAATCTCAGAAGTGACCTCTCATAACTCTTGCCTTATTGTCTTCATTAGACACAGGTCATCAGTTCTAGCCCACACTTAAGGGGAGGCGCTCACAAAGAACATGGATACTAGGAGATGTGGGGGTCATTGGGACGTTAGAAATTGCCTCACTCTAGAGTCCACGTCTGCCGACTATCAAAATATTATCTTTTTACCACATTATTGATGCCACTGAGGAGAAAAAGGCCCCCCAACTCTTGCATTTCATTTGCCTCTATATGTGTAATGACTGTCATGTAATGTCCTTCTACAACCCACTGATAGATGTCAATTTATATATGTCAGTAACCAAAGCCATTTGTTAAAAATCATAAGTGGCATAGGTTGATTTGTTTTGTGCCCTTTCACCTTGATCAAGAAATGAACTAGTCACCGNTGTGTGTATGTGTGTAAGCTGATGGAGGGGGGAAAGAGACAGATGATGGATGGGTGAGGGCAGGACAGGTCTGTGGGTCAGTTCTGAAGCTGTTTGAATAGTAATCATACTTATTTTACTTAGACTGGCTCTTTTTTGAAAGTGTATGTAGCAGGGAGGGAGAGCTAAAACTTCTCCCACACACCCACCCAGGCCATCCCTTGGGGGCTACCCCTGGTACAGATCCTCTTTTTCTACATTTTTCCTAGCTTTTTTTTTTTTTTTAGCTGAGCCATCCTGCCACCTGTTGGCAGCTCAGCTTGGGCCGGGAATCGAACTGGTGACCCTGTTGCTCAGAGCTCACGCTTAACCAACTGAGCCTATTTTCATTGCTTATCAGTAATTTTTTTCTCTTCAGATCTTGTTGGCTTGAGGCTTCAGGTCCCCATTTAAAGAAGAAGAAATTATCATTTTATTATTTCTCCATCTTAATTCTAGCCTCCTAGCTCTCTAGGGTGATAGAGGTAGGGATGGATTCTGTTTTGTGTCTGTTATGGGTTTGGTGGTGGAGGTGTGGAAATCCGGTTAAAGCGACCAGCAGCCTCGGAAGGAGGCCAAAAGGTGGACTGCAGGATACGGAGGGGGGAGGGATGGGCCGCTGTGATGAAAGGAGAGAGGGATAGCTTGTAACACCATGTACAAAAGCCTTCGCTTTACCACTAGCTTAGAAGCCATCTTTCCATTCTTCCTCTAGAGTAGGATAGACAGAAATTTGACCCAGATCTCCCACCTTCAGTAACTCTTCTCTAATTTTAGGGGTGAGATTCAACAGGTTATTAGGCTTTTCATTTTCAGCTCTCCTGTAGAAAGAAGTGTTGTTATAAAACCGAAGAGTAAGTTTGCAGACAGAGAATCTCTATTTGTAGTTCTCATCGATAACTGGGTGGCTCAGGGCCCTTTTGAGGACCCAGTCTAGAAGGACCCAGTGAGAGTCAGCATGGTGAGGTAGTGTTTGAGATCAGACAGTCTTAGGTTTGAATCCTGACTGCCATTTACTAGCAAGCTGTGAGACCTTGGACAAGTCACTTGACTTCTTGAAATTTAGATTCTTTATCTATAAGGGAGTAGCACTATTGTGTTATTGTCTTATATGAAACATAAAATATGTTGCCCGGGGTGTGGCAGATGCCCAACAGATGCTCCCCCCTTCTCCCCCCTTACCCATCTTCCAGAACATCTTATTTTTAGTAGAATCTGACTGTAGCCCTAAGCAGTTGTGTGACTCACCCTTTCCAAGCTTCAGTTTCCTTCCTAAAATGAGGGCATCTAACTAGTTGATTTCTGAGATCCTTCCTGGCTGTAAGATGTCATATGACTTTTTAGACTGTTGAGTGTATAGGTCTGTTAATTTAAGGAAAAACAATGTCGTCTGCCCTGGGACCATATCATCTGATGGGAAATGGGACGATTCCTGGAGCCAAACTGCTCTCCCTTGAGAACGAGAGAGCCAGCTTCCTTCACAGTCCGGATCGGGACTCAGATTCTGCCCTGTCTCATTTCTGACAGCGAGCTGTACATAACGGGCTTTGGGACGGGCTTTTGGGTCAGCTCAGCCTGGGTGGATTCGTGTTTGACCTATCTCTTCCTTTTTGTTTATATTCTGTCCAGGTCAAGAGGCAGCTGCCATGGAAAGATAGAGTGAGTGTCCAGGACACTGAGCACTGGGGGAGCATCTAGAAGCATTTACAGAAAAGCTTAAATTACCTAAATGGTAAGTATGTTGTACAGTGAAACCTGGCCACACATAGAATTGGGTGGTTTCTCTGATGTCTACAATTTTCCCATCGTTACAGAGAGGGAGGAAAGTCAGTATTTGTTGATCTATTATGAACCAAATACTATGCTAAGTACTTTACATGGTTTCTCATTTAATCAACCAGCCAACCAAATGAAGGAAAATCCTTTCATGAAGTTGACAACCTTGAGAAATAGGCCTAGCTACCATTTACTGAATAATTACTACATGCCAGGCCCAGTCCTATTTGACATACATACCTCCCTTAATATTTACACCAACCCTATGAGGTAAGTGCTGTTATTATCACCTTGAGGAAATGAGCTTAGAGAGGTTAAATAACTTCTCTAAGCTCACACAGGTAGTAAATGGTAGGACTCTATTTCAAACCTGGGTTATTTTCATTGTACTTGAACATCTCTCTTTTGAGAAAGTTACTTTTTGACTTAGGCAGTGACTGACTTAACTTTAAAAAGCAAACCAAAATGAATAAATTAAAAAAAAAACACCAAAAACCTTTCAATTGGCAACTAGCTCCTTTTCCTAGCCCTTTCTGGGTTCTGTGTGCCGGTATTTAATTGGTTGCTGTTGACCAAGGCACTGGAGAGTACTAATGAGACAGAAGAAACTTGAGCAGTGAGTGCCCAGAGGGCCTTGGAGGCAGGGCAAGACTCTGGAGTGCGTTTCCTTCTAAGATGGGAGCCACTGGGAGTGAAGAAGGTCATCTTGGTCGGTGGGAGCTGGATAATAGTTAGAGAAAGGTTCTCGGGGAAGGTAGAGCAATAGGGCAACCAGAGAAAGAGTCTGGCAAATAAGTTTTAGGCATAGGAGTGACTGGACATAGGGAAGGAATCTTAGCGAGACCTCTCCCTCGCATGGTAACTGCTCCTGGGAAATAGGCATAGCTAGGGACAGTAGAGAGCTCTTCTTGAGGGAGTGGGAAACTTCTAGGCAAACTCTTGCCCTGTCAGTTGGCTCAGGATTCTTGTGTTCCTTCCACGGGAGCATTTTCCTACCTCAGGGAACTGGGTTATGAAATTAATTTCTGGTTGGGTGGAGTTGCAGCTGTATTCATTTGTTCATTGGTGTTTCTGATGATACTTTAGTCTTTTTATTGGTGCACCAATGTTTTTAAATATACTTGGTGAATGGGGGAGGGGGCATAGAGATAATCCTTTTCATCAACAAACTTACTCCATGTACCTGTTATACAAAGAGTATTTTGCTATAAACTGAGGCTTGTGTTCTGATGATGAAATGGACCTCCTTACTACATGCCTTGCACAATTCTTGGAACTGAGTTTACAGCATTAAACAAAACAGAAAAAGTCCTTGCTCTCAAGGATTCTTTTCTTTTCTTTTTTTTTTTTAAAGATTTTTATTGGAGGATGGGAACAGCGCTGGGGAATTGGGGGAAGGGGAACAGACAAGTTGCTGTTGTTTTTTGTTTTTCAGTCTAGTTGTGGAGGACGTTGCTTCATTGGCCCAAGTTGGCACCATCACTGCGCTCTTCCNGAGAGGGAGAGAGAGGGAGACCCATCAGTCTTATGTAGGTTTGTGATGTTTGGGCTATGGATCAGGACCGACTTTCTTGTAAGAGCTGAGAGAGAATTCCTTCGGGAGGTGGTATAATGGAGAGAGGAAAGCAAATTTGGGGACACAAATACCCAGGTGAGAATCCACTTATCCAGCTATGTGGCTTTGAGCCTTTATTTCTTCCTCATTTATAAAATAGACATAATATTATCTACCCGATAGGGTTACTGTGAAGATTAAGTTAGGTAATGAAAGCACTTTCGGTTCCTTTCTCGTAAGGGTCAGGCTGTGACTTGCTGTTTAACTACATCTGCCATTCCCTGCTTTAATCCTGCGGCCCCTTGACATATTAGTGATAGACTTCAGAGGTTAAGGGAGCCAGCGTGTCCTTCTGATCAGCCAACTTTCTTAAAGCAGGCGAGTAACCCACAGTTTTAGACATGTGATTCTGTTGCTGTGCCCCACAAGCAAAGACCCCTAGTCTCGATTAGAGACGACTTGTTAGAGAAAGAAACAGTTGAGCCAGGAGGTGGTGTGGGGGCCTTGCGTTTACACAGATGCCCCAGTCACAAGCTAGTCTTATCAGCTGTTCATTAGTAAGTGCTTCCAAATGCTTGAAAGCTTTTAAATCCTTTCCTTCCAATTCCAGTCTTGTTCATACTCTTGGTTCTTTGTTAGGTAAGGTTTCTTTGGGAAGGTGAAACAAGCCTGGCAGCTCAGAGATGGGATTACTGGATTCGAGTCCTGTCTCTGTTTCTGGTTTCCTAAAAGGGCCACAAGTCTCTTAGTCGGTTTGCTCATGTGTCCAATGGGGGATAAGAGTATCTGCCTTTTTATCCCGAGAGTTACATGGATAAAAAAGTTATCCTGGGAGAATTAGAAACAGAAAGACATTATTTTAGCAGTCCATCATCATACTACATACGTATTGCAATCTCTATTATTAAAACAATTTTGGAATTAATAAGACTGTATTATTCTTAAAACATTTTGAATAGTTGCTTAACCCTCAGCTATTCTAATGAATCAAATGAAAGGGCATGTCTCCACATCCGCCTTTTGAGACCTATTGTTTATAGTTTCTCGCGGGCAGATGGAGAGAGCTTGGATAAAGATGTCATACATATTGTTATTGGAAAGGACCTTAGATGTCATTTTGTCTGACTTTTTGTTTCAACTGATGAAACTGAGACCCAGAGAGTATAACAAAGACTTTTTCTGCAGTGCTACAGTATGTTAGCGGCAGAACTCCTGAAACAAAGTTCTTTAAACTTAGGGGACACCTCTGCTTTTTCTGTTTCCCACTTTAGTCAGAAAAGAGCACTTGCTCTGAATTCTCTTCCCTTGTGGGCAGGTGGGGTGGGAGATGGGAGGAGGGGGATCAGAGAAAGGCAGGGCTTACAGAAATTGACCTGTTTTCAGCTGATGTTTCTTCCTCCACTCTTACTTACCTAGAGTGTCCTGAACGCCAACATGATGTGACCTGAGTGTGGGAAGTTGGTCAGTGATGGCATTTAGCTCAGCTGCTTTTACCAACCTAGGTGGCACTAGTCTGGCTCTCATTAAGCTGCTGGCACTCTTCAGCCCCAGACCCACTGGTTGAGATTGGTCCCACCCCATCCTGCCGTCAGCCTGTTTACCAGGTTGGCTTTTTGGGGAAGAGACTGTTTAGGGCAGAAAAAAACTTTAAAATCCCTTGTGGCTTTTTTCCTGAACAACCCTAAGGATGCTTGCCTTAGCAATTACAGGGGAAATAAACCTGTCTCCTAGCTTCTCAGTATACACAGTGGGGCACTAGATTTAACTCCTAGGACTGCGGATGTTATGGTGATCTCGGGTTTAAATTTTTATCCTGCTTTCTCATTTTCCACCTTCACATACTCTTCTTTGCTTTTTATATCTGGGTGACCTCCAGAAGTTAATTAGTAAATGAAGGGTGCGCTGGTCCAACAGAATTGCAGGTAACGGTTTCTCTGTGATCCCTAGTCATTCTGGTTCTCTCCGAGGTCACTTTTTCTGATAATAGAAAGTTTTCACTGTGTACACTCAGCTGAAGGGCCTGAGGGTGGTTTTTCTGGAGACTGCTGATGACCCCGAGCTATTGCAGTTTGGATAATTTCTATTGATTTGTCTTCAAGTTTCCTTGACTCTTTCCTCTGTCACCTCCATTCTGTTCTTAAGCTCATTCAGTGAATTTTTAAAATTTCAGATACTGTTTTTCTAAGATTGCCACTTTAAAAAATTCAGTTTCTCTGCTTAGTTTCAATAGCTGCTTTAATATCCTCGTTTGATCATTCCAACATCTGGGTCATCTGGGAATTGCCCTCTGCTCATTGTTTTTTTCCCTTGCAGCGGGGTTTAATTTTTCTAGTTCTTCATGTAATTTGGGATTGTATCCTGAACGTGAATGAATGCGAATATTCTTTCATGGAGACTCTGGTTTCTGTTGATGTTTTCATTGTCGTAGGCAAACTCTTGTCTCACCTGCTGTTCAAATCTCAGCCTAGTTCTTTCGTCCTTAGCCGAAGTCCTTGGGTTCTGCCCTGTGCATGCAAGGCTCAGGGGTCAGCTAGAGATTTGGGCAGAGCTTATACACAGACCCTGAGACTCTCCTTTTCTGGCTGTCTTCTTTCTTACTTCCCATTACCTGTGGCTGCCCTGGGCTCTGTCTTCTGGTTCCTCTGGAAAGAAAGCCTAGGGTTTGGTTTTTTAACTGGAACCTCAGCTGGACAACCCTTATTAGATCAAAGCCCCCAAAATGGGGAATTCATCCCATGCTAGTCCCTTCTTCCAATTTTCAACTTCTTTTCAAAATCTGCCAACCTTTGTTCACTTCAGATAGTTTAAAAAATTTTTTATCCAGAGTTTTTAGTTGTTAGCTGTGGGAGGATCATACTGGAAGCAGAATCCCCTCCTAGCATTTTTATCCATTATCAAAGTGTTTTGGGAACAAAAGTGACACATATTTGAGAGAGCTTTAATCTTCAGCAGTCTAGTGAGGATGAAATGATGCATTTCCTCAGCGTGGCTTGTTCATTATCTCATCTGGACTCAGCCACGTTCACTTTAACTTGCTTTGCAACCTTGAGCAAGTCTCTTCTCTCTGGGACTCACTTTCTCCTCTGGAAAATAAGGCGATTTGCCTCTCCATGATCTGTAAGAGTCCCTTCATTCCTGCTTCTCCACAGGCAGATGCATGTGCACGGCCACCACTGTCACCACCAAGCAGCACAGAAAAGACGCCTGAGGGAAGTGATGTGGTGGATGGGTCAGGGCGGAAAGCTCTCTGAAGGGGCAGCACTGAAGAGTCTGAGGATGTGTACAGTCATCCTCTTGTTCCTGGGGACAGGGCTGAGGATGCAAGAAGTAAATGACATTTCAGAAGCAAAGGAAAGAAGTCATTTGCTGCTTGCTGCCACCCCTAAGAAATAAGGAGAGAA